CGAATGAATTGAGTTACAGCCATTTTTATCATTATATCTTGCATTATTTACATGGTACACAACAAAAAGAAAGGTCTGTAAATGACTTCTTTCAAGTTATTTTAGGGCAAACTTGGTATCAAATGAAAGGAAATTCTTTATACAATATATTTTTGGTATAATCTCAGTTTTGATAAGGTACCGCTGTCACAACTTTAAGAAGCCATATCTCTAATTGATAATTCCCGCAGATAGCCTGGTTTTCTCATATTGGGTCACATATAGCGTTTGCATATTGATTGGGGAGTGTGTCCGCACTGTTGACCGCATTCTATTCAATGAGGTTGGTGTATTTAACATTGTTTAACAAACTACTTCTGAATACATTTGTATTATGAAAGAAATCATGTTCATGTACTTGATCCATTTCTTCAACATGCAGGGATCTTTTCATAATTAGGACAATTATCACATGCATCTAAAAGCCCGCAAAATTCGTAATGTTCATCAAAATATCTCCTACCTTTAACAATTGAACTAACGTCACTTTCTAACAAAAGCTTTCACTTGTCTGTATTGTGCCAGTTGAGGTAGGCTTTCTCTTACTAGTAAACATTCTATTATTATCCAAATTGTCGTCTTTATTTTACTTTTCTAGTTTATCAATACATGACACATCAACAGGGGGGGACTTAATGATATGTGACCCAATATGACAACACAAGGCTATATGCTACAAAATTGAAAATTGAGATTAATGGTTTTCTTAATTAAGCACATTTTTTTCAATTTTTGGTCCTTGTTCCATGTCACTTGACACATCTAGTGCTGAGTTATGATTAGGCAACAAGAAGTCTAAACGCATGAAATTGAGTCACAGTTTTTACCACTATATCTTGCATTGTTTGCATGGTGCACAATAAAAAAAGGTCTGTAAATTACCTCTTTTAAGTTATTTATGGGCAAACTTGGTATCAAATAAAAGAAAATGTATTATACAATACATTTTTGTATAATGTCAGTTTTGATAAGGTACCACTGTCACAACTTTAAGAAGCCATATCTCAAATTGATAATTTGCACACATAGCCTGGTTTTCTCATATCGGGTCACATATGGTTGCGGTAATTAGTGGGTGTCGTCAATCAGGCCTTAAAGATTTTACTTGGTAAGTCAAAATTTTGAAGATTTGGCATCTTAAATAAGCTGCTTAGTGGCTTTTCGATAGTTGACACAGTCAAGTACTGCAGCAGTTTCAGTTTACATAAATAAAACTAATTGTATGTTTGACCAGAAAACTGCCCAGGCCCCCCCCTAGATCCGCAGCTGCACATTAATGATCCCTGCTGAATAAAAGTGCCACTTGTATTAATAGGGATTGTAATTGGCTTATCTAATTTGCTATCAGAATTATTAATAGGATACAAATACCGCATTTCCTCGAATAGACCCCACGGGCACTATTAATTTCACGAAAGATAATATTAGGCCATTATTAAATGGTGGGTACTATTTGAGGGCAGGTACTAAAAATTTCATTGGAGGCTAATAATTCTATCAGTTAATCTGTGAACTATTAATCTTTGGTTGGGACAAGTGTTGCTATACTACCTCGAGATGTTTAGAGAGCAGCTCTAGCTACTAGAAGCTTTTCAACTCACGAGAAAATGCCC